AATTACTCTGCATGTATTACTTTACGTTTGTGGGTCGACCTACCGGATGATAGTGTCGTTACTTCTTATACAACGAAGTTAGTTAAAAAGAGGAAATGCTGTTTACCACAAAACCTATTGTTTTATATCATAGTATGCATTTAATGTTCTAGAATTTCGCTAATAGCTGCTGTAATTGGACCAATAAATCAATGACATAAATTATGTTCATTAGCTGGCATATTTGCCTAAGTCGCAAGATATCGCTTTTGATTGGTGAATAAATCCCATGGGCTTTACGGAACCATGTAAAACGACAGGTAAGGCATGCACACACATAGTATGCATTAAATGTTATAAAGATTTGGTAATAACTGCTGCAATTGCACCAATAAACCAAGTTTAAAAATTACGTTTTAATATTACCTTGAGACATCTGAATAAGTCAAGACGAAGGTTATGGAAGTGCACTATATTCCTCGGTCGCAAGATGTCGCTTTTGATTAGTGGCCTGAATGGAATTTCCCATATCGAAGATCCCGGATGTAACGCATGAGGCTGCTTAGGTATTTACTTAGCAAAAATAGCAAAATATCAGGAATTATAAGGGTATTAGGCATAGAGCCATAGGATAAAAATGGAGCTAAAGATACTACGGGCAAGGGCAATCAATTACATTGTGTTTTATTCGTGCTGTTGAACAGATTTAAACAGAGTTACGTTATCGCCCCCCTCCCCCCCGTGAAAAATTTATGAATTCGTACAACCTAACAATATGTTAGTGCATTAAGCTTGATAACGTTTGACAGCTCTGTTATTGTAGCCACTCCATTTTGTGTTGTCTCATGAAGTTATACCAAAATAAAACATTTCACTTTTGACACATGCATCTTTGCTCTTTATTCATCAATATTGTCCAGACATTACAATTTCAATGAAACATACAGATGAAACATAGTTCCTCTGTAATATACAACATGACACTACTGATTCCAAAAAATGTCTTCCCCATACATAGAGCTGTGTAACCTACTCTAACAGAGAAATTAGCTCCACATACATATCCTAAACTCTTTCCTGTCTCTCAAATCTTCAATCACAAATGAAAATCTGTATCTCTACCTAAACATTTTCCCTCCCAACATCTGCTTCGAGATTAATATTTTTCACTAATTCCATTGAAGCAAATGATAATGGAAGCCAACTTATTACCCTGTTTGGTGTTACAGGTATGAACATACTAGGTAATACATTCTTTCCTCTCTAGCAGTTACACAAATCTATGTGGACATCCTCCAAGAACACAAAACTACATGGCCAGCGGCCGAGATAAACTTTTTTCAAAAGTCTTGTTTATGTTGATTCTTACACAAAGAATTTTATTCCTCTTTTTTCTTACGAAAAGAATATATTTCTAGCATCATGCTCACCAACACGAATCTTAAGAATTTTAAGCAAGATGATTCTTGTTTTTCTTGATACTGTTTAAGAACATTCAATAATTATCTTCTCAGATTTCTTGTTTTTCCTCATCTAGAAAGTTTAATAAAGATGATTCATGATTTTCTTGCTAATGTTGAAGAACATACAAGAATTTTATCTCAACTTTCTTGTTTTTCCTCATCTAGAAAGTTTAAGAAAGATGATTCTTGTTTTTCTTGCTAATGTTTAAGAACATACAAGAATTGTTTTCTCAACTTTCTTGTTTTTCCTCATCTAGAAAGTTTAAGAAAAATGATTCTTGTTTTTCTTGGCCGGGTTCAAGAAGATACAAGAATTTGTTTCTTCACTTTCTAGACAAAATACTGTGATGAAAAACAATTTGTCAAGAGGAAGAAAATTTAAAGCAACAAATAAGTCAAATTCTTAAATGTTCTTGTTTTCATTATCCAGAAAGTTAAAGAAAGTTAATTCTTATTTTCTTTGTAATATTCAAGATTATGTAATAAATTTTTTCTTAAGTTTCTTGCCAGAATACTGATCTGTCATGTGATCTTTTCTGAACCCCTGATTGGTTGATTCAAATCCCAGAATGCAGTTGGGAACATATTTTGAACAAAAGTCAAATGTGGCAGCAGTGCAGTGCTGGTCATGTCTCCTTTTGTCAGTTACCGACTCATGCCACATTTGAAGTCAAAATCAAGGAGAAAATGACCTTGTGTACATGTGAGGCAATGGTGATCGTGGTCAACTTGCAGAAGAAGCATACTTTGCAACAGAAAACGCATGGAGCCAAACAGACATAAAAGATTAGGTAAGTGTGCCCCCCTCCCCACAGAATCGACACTGTTTTCAAACTTCAATAAATGAAAGCATTTTTTGTATCAAGAATTTAGAAAGCTTGAGCAATCTGATTCTTGATTTTCTTGGTAACGTCTACAAAGAAACAAGAATACTAATAAAACTTGTAACTAGGAAAAAATTCTAAAATGATTGTTGTTATTCAACTTATGTACAAAGTTTGAGAAAATGATTTTTGTTTTTCTTGGTCAGGTTCAAGAAGATAAAAGAATATGTTCCTTCACTTTCTTGTTCAAGTTGATATAAGAATCTTTGTCTTAACTTTAGCCAGATATGTCATGTGATCTTTTCTTAACCCCTGATTGGTTGATGGAAATTGCTATCCCAGAATTCAGTTAGGCAGTTTTGAACAAAAGTCAGTTGTGAGAGCAGTGCTGGTTACTTCTTTTCTGTCAGTTATTTGACTTTATGACTATATAATGTCAAATTTGAAGTCAAAATCAAGGTAGAAAGGACCTTGTATACAGATGAAGCAATGATGATCGGCTTGCAGAAGAAACCAACTTTGCAACAGAAAAAGCATGGATCCAAACCAAACAGATGAAAGGTAAGTGCGCCCCCCTCCCCACCTAGAAGAAAAATCTGTTGACATTATTTTCAGACTTCATTGCCAAAATATTGCTACAATATCAAAATCTTAATCATACCTCTCGTATATTGTACAGTACATTGTACTACTGCATTATAATATAATTTTCAGTTGTTTACTTGAAGTAATAAATGAATTAAAGTATTTTAGCATCCTCTTTTGACTTTGTTGCCTTCAGTGCAAGCTAACAAAGGTCTTTCCTGTGTTTTTTTCAGGTGTACAACTCTGACTGTGCCAATGCTATAATGCAAAAACTGCAGGATTTGCTGAATATGTTTCAGAATGTGATATGATCTGTATTCTGCAATCAAAACTGTTACATCGTGTAGACTTTTTGAAAGTTTCAACTGTAAAACTGTTTCCATTCCCAGAATGTTACTGGACAGATTTCAGATGATCATTGTACATAATGAATGTGGTTATAAACATTCCTATACTGTCAAGAGGCTTGTCAAGATGATTGTTAACCCTAACATTTTGTTGTTATACAACATCATTTACTGTTTAAATAACAATATTGTCCATGCTGAGTGCTGACACAAAATATTTTCTTGTGTACAGAAAGGTTTTCTTGCTACAAGAAGAGTTAGTTCAGTTAGTTTAAGAAATGCTTTCTTATGTTTAGAAAGGTTTTCTTGCTAGGATAAGAACATTTAGCACTTACTTCAATAAATCTTTTCCTGTGTACAGAATTGTTTTCTCGCTACAAAAACTGTTCTTATTCAAGAAATATTTTGTTGTAGGCAGCATTGTTTTGTTTTTACAAGGACAGATGAAGTTCAAGGAATTTTTCTTGTGTACAGAAAAGTTTTTCCTGCTACAAGAACAGTTAGATCTTAGTTTACGAAATATTTTCTTGTTGGCAGCATTGTTTTCTTCCTATAAGAACAGATGACTCTTAGTTTAAGAATTTTTTTCTAGTGTACAGAAAGGTTTTCTTACTATCAGAACAGTTAGCTATTAGTTTAAGAAATATTTTCTTGTGGGCAGTATTGTTTTCTTTCTATAAGAACAGATGACTCTTAGTTTAAGAAATATTTTCTTCTGTATAGAAAGGTTTTCTTGCTACAAGAACAGCTAGCTCTTAGTTCAAGAAATCTTTTCTTGTGGACAGAACAGTTTTCTTGCTACAAGACCAGTTAGTTCTTAGTTCAAGGAATTTTTTCTTGTGGGCAGAAAGCTTTTCTTGCTACAACAATCGTTAGCTCTTAGTTTGAGAAAATTTTTCCTGTGGGCATAAAAGTTTTCTTTCTACAAAAAAAGTCAGCTCTTAGTTCAAGAAATCTTTTCTTGTGGACAGATGCTAAAGAAACTAAAGATTCTTCGTGTAAGAACCTGCAATTCTTACTATAAGAACAATAATATTCTTGCTGACAGAAAATATTTCTTTGCACAAGAACATACAAGAATATAGTGTATACTAAGAAGATAAATCTTAAAAGGGAAGAATCCATTTCTCAGTAACTAGAATTTTGGTCTTGAGGAAAGAAAGATATTCTTGATGCGAGATAAAGTAAGAACCTATCTCTACCTATGAATATGAATGTAGTGTTCTTGAGGTAAGAACAAAAATCTTGAAAGAATAATAACAATAACTTGCAGGCTAAATGAATCTAGGAAAATATCTTACTGTAAGAATAACATTCTGGAAGTAACCAAGGCTAACTAAAAGAAACCTATAAGAAAGATAATCTTTATACTGCAAGAAAAAAATTCAATAAGAAAAAAATTGCTTAATTCGTGGACAAAATCTCTTTCTTGCATACAGAAAAAATAGCTTCCAGGAAGAAATATTTTTTGTGTGTAAGAAAAAACAAGAATCCAAAAAATGTCATTTTTTTTGTAGTGCATGTGGTCTTTAAGTAAAGAGGAGTCTGACCAGTGTGCCATGCTGAGTGGAGTGGATTGGTGCAGACTGTTGGCCGCCGCCTCGCACTGTTTCTTACTCAGGATGAATGTCTGCAACTTCTCTTTCACCTCCGTGGAGGCCATTGCACCTTAGCAACGGGAAACAAGAAGTGTGTTTTAAAAAATGCTGGCAGGGGGCCAAGATAGGAATAGCTTGTGACAATGTCTGACACAAATAATGGACCCGTTGCATCAGCATGATACAAGGTGTACTGCCACTGCCACAACCAGTAAAGACAGAAGCCAGCAACCCTTTTTGTCACAGAACAGCTCAGGGGAAGGCTGTGAGCTGTTTTGATGCTTTCACTTTGATGCAAGCATGTCTAACCCCCATTTTCGGGGGAAAAATGACATGAAACCGGATAGAGAGAGAGAGAGGGAGAGAGAGAGAGACAAGAGAGATATTTACTGTTTTCTTTCTTCTTCCCGGCCAGGAATTGCTTTTGTCGTTCCGACTGTTTTTCCTGGAGTTTGCCCCTGGCTTGAGCTAGTTCCTGCTGCAGAACACACACAGAACAGTTCGTTACACAATGTAGCAATGACAACAGTGCAGTAAGCATGGTTTGAACCAGTGCTCTAGAAGTGACAAGAGCAGGGAGGGAGTACGTCAACGCACGGCACTCGGACGCGGGATGAATCGGCAGCCCGGACGCAGAGGAAGTTTTTTTTTTAAATAAATATTCTACGGCGTGTCTGCGTGCTCCCAAATCTGTAGGATTCCGTACAGAGCACCACGTACGGAAGCCAAACGTTGCCCACGTTTTTTGCACGTAGACAGCACGTACTTGCAAGTACGGAGGGTTGTGCCCTTAGCTTTAATGACATCTCTTTCCATATCATTGTCAAAAATGACGGACTAGTCGACTGAGCAAAATTTCTGCCCGTCACGAGCCGCAAAGATGGACGCTGGCTAGAACACTAGTTTGAACTGTTCATGAGCTGTGTGATGCATTGTGGGTAATTCAGGGGTTTTTCTAAACAGGGGAACAAGGGCGCTGCGCCCTCATGTGACAAACCAGCGCCCTCATATCAATTTTCAGATTGAAGCCTAAGTCTTTTTCAAAATTATCTTTTTCCAGTAAAAATACAAAAACAACACCAAATAACAATGTATTCTAGCATTACAAACTATGTTACTCTCATGAAAATTCCAAAATCTTACCATAAACATGAAAATTTAGCTCTAGTAGTAAAAGTCTGAATGGAGCAAACATAGTTCATTGAGAACTTGCCCAAAGACTACAAGTAAGCCTCCTTCATTTGCATACTATAGAACAGGCTCTGAAGTGAAACATGAGACCTGAGTTTGTAGCAGCTTGGATGAATGTGTTGCAAGTTGCAACTTTGCCATGGGAAAGGGTTGAGCTTGTGGCAAACCCAATGTTGTCATCTGGAGCTACTAGTAAAATTGATCACTAATTGTTTTAAGTGTATAAAGGGTGATTTGCACATTGTGTGTACTGTTGATTGTACTTTATATTTTATAAAGGAAATATGCAATGCATGAATAGAAATTTAGGAAAGATATTGACAAAAAACATTGAATTATTTTAGTCTATCTATCCTTCTCCTATGGCTTTTACATCCATTATAGTACTGAAAATTTGTATTGAGCACTGTATCTAGCATATTGTAAATTTTGTGCAAGCTAAAATAGCCTTTGAAGGTGTTGTAAAATCCAAGTAAACAGACCTTTTTCACAATCATAGTTGTTTATTTTCAAAGAAACATACAATGAAAGAGTTCAAAATTTTTCCCCCCTCAAGTAACCTCAAACTGTCCCATTTCAACTTCAAATTTTCAAAGGCTTCACATGGCGGAAGGGGGGATACCCCCCTTCCGCACCAACCCCCCTCGGTCGCTTCGCTCCCTCGCCGTGATACCGCTCCCTCATGCCAGATTTTTCTAGAAAAACCCCTGCGGTATTATGTCAAAGTTGAAAGCCCCTGAGACATAAACAAAACAGGTCTGGGCAATGATTGTATTAAGACATTAGAGCTGTTTATAAGTAAGGGGCCTTCATCTTTGCATAGATGTGTAGCGTGTGGCTTACCACGTTATAAGATCCACCAGAGTACACCAGTCCAATCTAAAATAAAAGCAGACAGTATCATTTGGAAACTGTACGTTGTAAATTTTTTGAAAATCGAAGCCACATTTTAGATCTTAAGTTTGATTGCAAGTGTGAATGTGTATTTAGTTAACTATTATCATAATAATGTATAGCAGAAGTAATTATAGACTTTTTTATAATGAATTTTCTATTATCATTTTGTATTTAGTAAGGTAACTTACCCTCAGTCCCATAGGCGACATGTTTTCCGGCTGTGTAAAAAAGGAATGTCCACAATAATTAGTTCCCACCGACATGACTGTGTATGAGCAGTAACAGTACTTTTATCACACTAGACATTCTCCTAGCTACAGCTACAAGTTTTTTCTGTGTTCCCTACCCGTCATATATTCTGTACATGCAACTGCATATTACCCTAAATTGTCACATAGTAGTAGTTACTGCTACAGTACTCCAACTTTTATACCACCGATCGTTACTTAATGTTTTTATACCACCATTTTAGACTATTTTTGTAATTTTAAACTAAAGAAATTTTGTAGTCGAATTGTTTTTAACTCTAATCGTGTGTAGCCTCAATGTAAATTATATGTAATATATGTATGTATTATAAGCGCAATTTTTGTTCTAAAGCCTTTCAACTCAGCCAATCATGGCTGCTTACAGGCTTTTATGTGTACTCTTGTGGTACAAATAATAAACCAGTCTCTCATTTTTCAAGAAACGTGAACAACTATAAACTGCACATCTTACGTCTTCTGTATATATTAATTCATACAGCGATGATCTGAAGGACACTGGCTTTCCATAAGGGAGGCTGAGACATTAGCCCTGGACAGAGCGGGCTGGAGAACCCTGACGGAGAGGAGCAAGGGGCCAGTTCCTGGCCTGAGCACCTAGGCAGGTAGGCAGGACAGCGATGATATATGCTTGTGTATATTTTGTATGTAGGTCCTGTGTTTGGGAGAGCCACACCCCACGCACGTTAAAGAACCCACCACACTTATCGAAAAGAGTAGGGGACCTTCCCGGTGTGAGTGGTTCAGACCTTACAGTCTGGTCTCGGGGTTGACATCTTTGAAGAGGTGATAGTCACCTGTCAATCCTTCCACAAATGTGGTAAATCGTCATAAATAAATAAATAAATAAATAAATAAATAAATAAATAAAAATGCACTCGAGTCTAAACGCATTTTTGGGGGGTAAAGTGGACAGCTGGTTCTTCAACACTACTATTACTAATAGTCATTTGCATATAAACGCACTTAACATAATTTTCAGTACCTTAGTGATCGTTGATCTGTCCAATGTCATTATTCCCCTTTTTTATCCTATTTGTTTTTAAAAATGGAAGATATTCTTTGAATTTATCTGCCTTGAAATCTTTTGTTTCCTATATCTACAAACTGGAATTGAATATTGCATACATGCAAAATAAAGTACACAAACATTGGGGGTAGTGGGGGAAGGTTAACACAGTTTTGGTTTCTGTTAATTGAAAAAAAACTCAAATAAAAAGAGATTGATAAAAAAAGTTTCGGAACCTTCTTTATCGTCAGGACTGTTAACTAATTATACACAACGGAAGTCAGGCCTGACACGGGGGACAACGAGTTGTTTGATCTCGGTAACGGGCGGAGACAACTCACGATTCCGTCGGAGCAGGACCCGGTGCTGGGGGCGGAGGAGTCCGACACCTCTCCGGAAGACTTGCTGTCCCGCAGAAGTGTTTGGAGCTGCTCAATGTAGGAGATTGCGTTGCGCAGGATTTCTATCTTTCGGAGCCTCTGGTTCGGGTTGGCGCACAATTTCTTCTTCAAAATGTCGAACGCCTCGTTCATTACGCCCATACGACGCCTCTCTCTAATGGTGGCGGCCTTTCTCTTGTCGATTGACCCCGGGACTTGTCCGCCCCCCTGGTCCTCTACAAACTCCATCCTCGGCTGGTGTCTTTAGAGTCCTCCTAACTCCAAGTTAACGGTGAAGGGAGTGATGTTTTTGAAGTGTCAATTGTCTCAGACAGCAAGAGATGCACAGGAGGTCTCATACCGCAATCACTCCGCGTCTAAAAGAGTACTTGCAAAAAAATAATTGAGCCATAACAGTTCGAGTTTAGGTCTATCATAAATTCCCTTTCATCGCACAGACCTGATCTAAAAAGGGGTTGAGATGAAAGGTTATTACTGACAGGATAAGGCAGGGAAGTTTCGGCATCCGCGCGATTGTCGGATGTGTACCCTTATTTGACCTGAGTTATGCGGTCGGGCACTGTGAGCCGTGAGAGGGCCTCTTGCGGATCGTGGGTAATTGCAGTTATACGTGACGTAAATATCGAACTAGCGGGTAGAATTGGGGAAAATTTATTTTGTTGTTTAAATAATATGTGTGCTTGTTATATAAATCAAAAATAACTCTTTTAAAAATAACAATAGTTTTTTTATTGTATTCATAGCCAAAATAGTGACGTATTTTAATAAACGTGCTAGTCTATTGGACACATCCTCCCATGGCAGGGGCAGCGGCTCCGAATTCCTTCTCCACCCCTTGCCCCTGCCGAATAACCTCGCATCTTCTACTCTGCGACCCCAGGAATATTAATATTCATGAGCTTTCCTTATTTGGCATGGCCCCATTTCTGACTTGGCCGCCGGCGACTCCGCCGCCGCCCGGTGATGAGCCCGTTGGGGAGGCCGTGCGGGGCAAAGTCACCGAGCCGCCCCCTCTTTTCTCCGCGCCGGCACCTTCCCCGTGCTCGGCGGGATCCGCGCGCACCCTCCAGCACACGCTAGCGCCCCGCCGACGCCCGCAGCGGCCTGCATCGCAAAATTCTCTTCCCAAGACGACGCCATGTTTGTTTTTATTTGTCACTGAACAGCCGATGTAAGAGCCGACATGATTGGTTCCGATAGCTAGCGTAGCTCATAAATATTTAATGTAGAGTGCGTTGAAGATTTTCTCTGTGATACGTGATTGGCTGAGAGCGTGTCCCTGGAATCGGGTCGCAGAGTAGAAGATGCGAGGTTATTCGGCAGCGGTAAGGGGTGGAGAAGGAATTCGGAGCCGCTGCCCCTGCCATGGGAGGATGAGTGCGAAGTCATGTCGGTACCGTCTTCAAGAAACCCCATCTCATTCCCCTATACCCCCCATGGCCACCCCCTGCATGACAAAGGTAAGTATACCAAATACCTCGGTGTTTCCATCTCTGCAAACTTAACCTGGGGCTGACATGTTCAAATGGTCACATCCAAATCCAATAGATCTTTAGGTATGTTGAGACGCTGTCTGCGGATTATCAGCACTGCGGCCAAGGAGAGAGCCTACATGGCTCTTGTAAGACCTACCCTTGAGTATGGCTGTAGTGTTTGGGATCCCCACAACAGAGACCAGGTGGGTAGGGTGGAGATGATCCAGCGTCGAGCAGCCCGCTATGTATGCAATGACTTCAGACGCTCTAGTTCAGTAGCTTCTATGTTACGAAACTTGGGCTGACAGTCATTGGAAGCACGTAGAAGGATTGCCCGCCAAGTGACACTATATGAGATTATCCATAATACTGTCTCTGCCCCGCACTCTATTAAGATTGTTCCGGTGGCTCGATGCATGCTCCCGCCGCACCAATCACACACAAACATTGCAGGCCATTGCGAGCAAGAGCAACTACTACAGGATCTCGTTCTTCCCTCGGACCATCAGAGAGTGGAATGAACTTGAGCCTGGTGTGGCGGAGGCGGAGTCACTTGCCCAGTTCAAAACTGAACTGGCGAGGACCCTGCTGCATTGCGCCACCCCCCATGTCCTTGTATATATGTAAATATATTTATTACTAACTCACTGACTCACTTGTCCTGTCTTTACACATACGAAATCAGTTACTTATGTTTCCTTAGAGTCTTCCTTTTTCTTTCCCTTCGTTTTATATGTACCGGTCACTTGTGTTGTAACTAACCCCATGCGTACTGCCGATAATCTCGTTTTTACAAGGCTAGGCAGTACAAAAGAAGAAGAAGAACCGTGCCAGAATACTTTTAGTCAGAACTCTGCACGTCCCTCAGTTCCGAACAACCTTACCTAGCGTGACAGGGGTTGTGCCGCCACTGTTTGCGATCGCTCCCCAAGTATGAATAAGCCGCCTGCAAATATGCCACTACTTTTCTGATATATATAATTAGAAAAGTACTGGCCTATTTCAGATGATTCAGGTCTCATTCGTGAGTTTTTGTTAACTATAGCCGCCTATGGCAAAATACGTAGCTTTACATAGGCCAAAACCCAATAATTTGAATGACAGCCATCTAGTCTATCCAATCAATTTTGAGCACAATGGCCCTACATTACGTCAAAAAATTCCCAACCAGATCTAACCCAACAATCTCTTTTTATTTATTTATAAACTGCACTTGGCCACTCTCCGCCAGAGGTCCTCCAGCGCTGCTACCTCCTGACCGCATTACCCATCACAACAGCGTGTAAACATCCGACCTGTCGCGCGGATGTCAACACTTACCCACTAATTTTAGCACATACAAACAACCTCTCATATCACAAGCGGTTTACGCCAACTGACTTAGCTAAAATGCAATTTCTGGCGGATATAAACACACATCCATACACGCATTTAATTTTTAGTACGATCTACTTTAGAGTACCCACGCGGAAGAATACCGGAATGAGACCTTCAGCGCGCTGCCGACTAAGATGGCGACCACTCGGTCTGTTACTTGTACATAGATACCGATCGGAAACAGTAGCGGCACTGCCAGCACAAGGGGTGGTAGACTATCCAACCCCACCGGTACGCCTTGTAAGGTTGTTAGGAACTGAGGAACGTGCGGAGTTCGGACTCAAGTTTTCCTGCAAGAAAGATCGCTTGTTTGTTCATTTGGCCCGATGTTGTACTGCCCTAAAGCCCTAGCGCCCTGCAACAGTCGCCGCGGCTAGGGGTTGGTAAGTGTATGCAGGGGCCAATCTATGATAATTGACGTTACATTCTGCCATTAATTTTCACATAGAGTCTAAATGAATCCCGGATGGAAACCATTTGGCCCATTACAAGTATGATAGTTTCATTACTGACAGGACTAGGTAGGGAAGGTTTCCTTCAGAGAGACAGGGCTTGACTCCTTTTTGTTGCATACCTGCACTGGTGCAGATAACATTGGTAATCATCTGCATCAGACAAGTTTTACCTTAATCATTTAGAATGTAGGAAGCATGAATCGTAGTAAAAACTGTTCAGAAACCACTGCTTTTTTTGCGCTTTTTACACCTTTGTAGGACCCAGTACATGGAGCAGTGCAGGTTAGGTGCAGGTAGACATAAAAAATGAAGAATATATTTGCACAACAGTTGTATGTGGTTCCAAGTATGGCAACAAACATCGGACGAATTTGTATTTAAAATAGTATTACAATCAACTTGGACTAATCATGAGTTTCGGCATCGTTTCTAGTAACAGAGCACTATTTTACATATATACCTATTTTTGCATTCAGTGTGAGTTATATAAAGTTAGTTAGTAAAAGATATATTCAAATCTGTCTCTAGCATCGAGTTTCTTAAAATCAGATGTGATTTATTCGAGAAATGTAATAAGCTTATTACGTAAGACATTATATCGAGTGCATTCCAAAACAAAGTGAAATTCACCTTCGATTTGCTTAGGACAAAACGGACACAACGGCTACATTGTAATATCTACCTGTTTCAATATTTTTTACGAATTTAAAAGTTATCTATATCAGAAATGTCTGCACGGCTCCAGTTTTACCTGCACAAATCACCAAGCACAAGAGCTAAACCATGACCCTAACTATTACCGGCGTTAGTGAAACCATGGACACCAATTTGGACTTAAAACGTAGCCTATTTCTATTTTCTCCTCAGGAATACTTTACCACTGAGAATCAAGATTCCGCTCAAGAATCGTAAGTCCGAGACAGTTATGCAATATAGTATGGGCATTGATTTAAGCTAGATCTCCTGGTGAGCCGAATGATTGGCACGTGTGCATGTGATATTTGGTAATTGGTTTTTAGTACGTGTACGTGTACATGTACATGTAATACGAATTCAGATTAGTATCATAACTTACAACTGCTACCAAACTGCTAGGGGGTCTAAACTCACACTACTTATTCCTGACAGGAAAAGCTATCTGCCACCCAAAAAATTAAGACCACAGCATGTTCAGGGAAAAGATACAAAAACCGGAAGTTCTGCTGCAGTACCCAGGTCAACCACTAGAAGGCCCATACTAGACCTTGACCTTTTTCTCCATAAGATACATATCAAATGTTATGTTTGTTTAAGTTGTTGGTTGAAAGAAATTGTGTTCTAAATTCTTGTCCGTAAGAAGGTTTAGTCCATAAATTGATCCCTACTGTAACATTTACAATTCCAAATTCCAAGTTTGGTTGAACCACAACTGCATTTTGACAAGACATGCTATGGTGTACACCTGTTCTGGACATTGTACTGGGACAAAGTGTACCAAACCTGTAACCCTTAAGCTTTTCTACTCAGCTGACCCTGAAAACCGTTTAACACGAAACATATATATTATATATGTTGGATGTTTCCATTTTATTTCAGAAACTAGAGTTCATAAAACACATGCTTCCGTGAGGCATATAAATCTTATTCGCTTAGTGTTTCTTGGTGTAAAGTGGTTATGAAAAGGGTTAAATTTTTGTGGCACTTATGTGTTTGGTGTGTGTTTTGGATTCGTGGGACCAGATGTTGACCAGATGTCCATTTTAAACACCACACCCCGCTCGCCGCGCAGCATGACGTATTACATATCCCAGGTGGCCAGCTGTGAAATGAATGCACTGACCTAGACTTACACAGTCCCAGGGACAAACTACATAAGAATATCAGCTCCAATTCCAAATCTCCACATAAGTACGCTTATTCCACTTTCCCACTACCAACTAGA